AGTGTTGTGAGCTGTTAATGCAGGTGATCAACCATGGAGTTTGTGATAGTTTAGTGGATGACACGATGAGTTTATTTAAGGAGTTCTTTGGGATGCCAGCTGAGTACAAGGCGAGCTTTTACTCGAATGACATCAATAAAAGTTGCAGAATTTACTCGAGCACATTGAACTACAACACAGAAGAGGTTCATTATCGGTAGGGATGTCAAAAGGGTCGAGCCGCTCGTCGGCTCGACTCATGAAAATGGGGCTCGTGGGCTGTCGTGGCTCATCGAGCCCCCAAAGTAAAGTGACCGTTTTGGTCACTTTTTCAGTGACCATTTTGATCACTAAAATAAATTTTTTTTTTTTAATTCCCCTCCCCCCCCTCTACTATAAATACATATTCTTCCAAAGATTTTTTTTCATATCAATTGCTACTCCAAGTCTCTAAACTCTCTTTTATTATATCAATTATCGAGTTTTTACTCTCTTGTACTGAAAAATATACAATATCAATTCAATTTTTACAATTTATTAATTACAATTTCAATTCATCCAATTCTCAATTCTCACAATCTCACTACATTTATATTCTTCTAGTTAAAATTTTATCATAAACAATCAAACAAATGGATCAACGCTCATTTGTTGAAAGCTTGTTCGATACAGGATGTGGGCCACATCATGGTGAATCGCCTAGGACGTCGCAAAGTCAATTTTCAAATGAATTTGTCGGTCTAAATGACCTACCAATACCTGAAGATGTTCACATCCATGGTCAAGGAAGCTACAATGCAATTGATTTGGATGATATTAATATTCTCGAAGCGGAACATGAGAATGAAGATGCTGAATTAAACATCCCAGATGCGAGGGGAAAGCGAAAGGCTAAAAAACAAGCAAAATGTTGAGATCACTTTAAATTGATTTCAATAGGAAAAGTCATCGATGGCCTTACAGAATCTAAAGCGGTATGTAAATACTGCCAACAAAGATTAGCATGCCAAAAAGGAATTGGTACCACCCATCTCAACCGCCACTACAAAGTATGTGCGGTCAGACATAGACTTCTTCCAGCTGGTCAAATACAATTGCAATGTGGCAGTCCAAGCGCCGGTTCTACAACTTCACCCCTATCCACGTAGGTGTATTCGGAGGACAATACTCGAACCGGAATGGTGAAATTTGTTTCGCCACTGAGTTGCCTCTGGTTATTGCAAACAACTAACACTTCGTCTCGTTCGTGAAAGAATATCTACAACCGAGGTACGTTAGGGTAAGTCGAAACACTCTTCGTGCCGATACAATAAATTATTTCAATAATTCAAAACAACAATTAATTATGAATTTGCAACAATATGGGGGTATTATATTTTTAACTTCTGATATATGGGAAGGGGTTAATAAAAGAGCATATATAGCTGCAACAGCACACTATATAAATTCACTTTGGTGCATGCATAAGAAAATTATTGCTTTTAGAATTATTGAGTTTCTTTACAATGCTAATAATATACATAATGCTATAATCAGTATTGTTAGAGAATATCATTGCGAGACTAAAATTCGATATTTTACTTTTGATAATACTAGTGTTAATAAAGTAGTCGTTGATAAATTGTGTAGAACACTTTAACTTGATTTTAGTGGGTATTTGTTTCATATTCGTTGTGTGTGTCATATCTTAAATTTAATTGTGCAAGATGATTTAAAACATATAAATGATGAACTTCAAAGGATTATGAATGAATTAGTATGTATTACGATCTCTCCTAGTAGAAAACAAGCATTTGAAGATTTTTGTGTTGACCTAGGGGTGATGACTGCTAAAACATTTGTTAGCGACGTAGGCCATAGATGGAACTCTGCTTTCTTGTTATTAAAGTCATGTAAAGATTTCGAAAATTTAATAACTGACTTTTATAACAATAGACACGTTAGAAATGATGACGATGGTATATTAAATGAATTTGATTGGATTTTAGTTTTGAAAGTTAAACGATTTTTGATATCTTTTTATGAGACCACAAAGATTTTATCGGGCATTTATTATCCTACAAGCTGTATGGTGCTTGAACGCTTTTATATAATTGTAAGAATATTTCATAAATATAAAAATGATCCTGCTTTTAGTGAAATTATAATTGCTATGAAATTAAAGTTTAGAAAATATTGGGAAGAACTGCCTATATTATTTCTTTTAGCATGCGCAAGGGACCCTCGATATAATATTTCGGGAACTAAATACGTAATTGATCAAATCAATAAAGTTTTAATACTTGATACACTTATCACCTATAAGAATTTAGAGCAAATATTATGTGGAATGTATGATTTATATGTGGAAAGAATGGGTGCTAATGTTAGTCGGGTACCCTCTGCACCTACTTCTTCTGCTGAAATTGAAGAAGATGATGCCGAAACAATGAATTTATTTCAAAGCATTAATACATTTAGTTATGATGCAACTGCAATATATTCATCTAGTGTCATGTCGTCTACATTTGTATCTCATCAAACATTGGCCGAAACTCAAAATGCGATGCCTGCCAAATTAATTGATTACTTCAATCATAATATGCCAATAGACAAAACAATTAAAAAAAATTTAGAAGAAGTAATTGAATTCTAGCGAAAGTATGAAAGGCGTTGGCCAATTGTTTCTGCAATTGCGAAAGATCTGCTGACACCTTTGGTTAGCACTGTTGCTTCGAAATTTGCTTTAGTGCAGGTAAAAGGGTTTTGACCGATACCAGAAGCCGACTGAAAAAAGATGTTTTGGAAGCGTTAATGTGCGTGAAGGATTGATAGGACGTTCATTTTCGACTACAAGAAAAATACGCTGAAATTGCATGTCATCAGGTAAATGATATTTGATTTAATTATATTAATCAAAATTTCTTTATTTTTTAATTGTTAAATTTAATTTTCTTTAAAAATTGTACACGTTACAACAAGTTGTTCGTGTACAATTTTAACTCTGCCTACTTAAAATTGATGTAGCCGGTCCCAAACCCAAATAAAGGAGAAGGGTTTACATTTTATCTACTTTAAAAAGAAATAAAAAAAATATATTTTTTTGTAAATGTATTTCAAAAAATAATTCGTCTTCATTATATAAATATTTTATACTTTATAAAAAGTATTACAATATGATATAAATAAAAAATTATTTTCGTTCAATTATTTGTATTTTTTAACACTTTTTATTTTTTTTAAAAGTGTTTTCTATTATTTCATTTATTTGTAAAACTCTTTAAAAAAAATATAAAAAATTTGGACGAGCTCGGACGAGCCACTAGCTCGTGGGCTGAGCCGTGCTCGCCCAATTTCGCTCGGCTCGCGCTAGCTCGTGCGATTAAGGGTCGAGCCGAGCCATTGCCACCACTAATTATCAGAGAGATAATTTCACTCATCAATGCCATCCTATTGAAGATCACATTCAACATTAGCCAGAAAGGCCAGTCAGATACCGGTATAATTCTTTATCTTTGTTTGCTTGATTTTTCACGAATAGTGAAATAAAAAAAGTCGGGTTGGTAGGTAATGGATAGGATTTTCACGTTTTCTTTTCAGAGAAGTTGGTGGTGCATATGGTGTTGAAGTGAGGACGTTTCTGTTAGGGATTTTGAATCTGATTTCATAAGGACTTGGAGTGGAACCGGGGGATTTCGTCAGTGATCTAAGTAAAATTCAGTTGCTGTCTATTAATCATCATATCTCATGTCCTAATCCAAGTTTGACACTGGGAATGCCTGAACATCGTGATCCTAATCTCATAAGTATGCTTCAACAATGTTCAGTACCAGGACTTCAGGTGTTCTTGGAGGGCAAATGGATGGGTGTTGAGCCTCTGCCCAATGCCTTTCTTGTCATCCCGGGGCTCCAGTTGAAGGCACCTCCGGAGGCAATTACTGAAACTGAACTCTTTCCCTGTTTTCCTTTCGGGAAATAAGTAACGGGAAATTCACTAGTCCAATATATCAAGTGGTAACACATTCAAATTAGGCTAGGACAACAATTGGCTCGATTTTAATTCCATCTCATGACATATTGATTGAACCAGCCAAAAGAATTCTTCAGCACTTTCACTGGGAAAATCTGTGATGCTGAAGTTGCCTAGGAGTTTTTCAAGAATAAGCCTGTTGAAAAGAAATAAGCATTAAGGACTTTGCTGCTATTGCTTTATCTTGCTTGTAATAAACATTTGTCCCTTGCAGATGGTGATTTTTCATTGTAATAAAACTATGTTTAAGATAAATATTCGTGACTTCAACGATACGCGAATGTTTGTTTATACCACTATAGTGACTGTACTACAACAAATTAAGCTTTATTCCGATAAATTTGAGGTCAACTACGTTAATATATGATTGGTGTAACATTAACTTGACCTTAAGAACGAGTATATTAGAAAATGAATAATTTATGTACGTTTATTTATAATCTAGGAATGAAGTAATATTTACGGAAAATCTCTTTTTGTATTTGTCTGGTTATTATTTAAAATGAAATGAAATATCGGATTTGATGAGGGTATAATAATACACTGGTTCTTGAATTATTTTCATTTAGCTAAAAGCTTTGCAAATAACTTTTCAAGTGTTAAAATATGAGTATATAATAATAACAAACTGAATACAGTGCTTAAATAAAAAAATTATACTTACTTTTTGATAGCAAACATGTTGTAACGTTAACGGTAAGTAAAACCCATTCTGCTTCTCAATTCGTTTCTCAGAAAAGCTCTCCCTCCCAAGGTACTTGCGTTTTTCCATATTGATTTAATTCAATTAAAATATCGCTTTCATTTTTAATAGATTGATTTATTCTTGCTCATATTGATTGATGCATTTGGATGTGTGTAATAATTTGAATTTTTAGGGGCGTAATTTTTTAATATCATTTCTGTTTTTATTCTGTCTCGGATCTTTGAAATTACTAACCGATTGTTGCTTCTTCTTCTTCTCCATTTTACCTTTTTAATTTTTTTTATAATTTTTTTTATTCGAATTACATTTTATGTCTGCCACTGTCTGTCTGTCCAAATATGATTGCCTCTTCGTTCGAAATTGAACGAGTTGGTTTAATCTTGTTCTAAATATCTAATGAATCTTAGTTTAGGAGAATTGTTTCTCCCTCTAGTAAGTTGAGACACACTCCTTCAGATCTGTAATTTCCACCGTAATATCAAGTTACGGTCCTTCATTAAAATTACCACTTGAGATTCACGATTTGAATTCTTTATGCCTCGTGTGAGTTCTAATGTTCATTTATAATCTTTTTGAATGCAGAATTTCGAACCCTAAGCTGTGGCAAGGTATTGATATCCAAAAGTGATCTCCAGATAATTTGGTCTTCTTAGCCATGAATTCTAGAAGGTTTTTGCCACTAATTATCTTATTACTTCAACAATGTGTTTACAAACTGTACCTTACAATTGCATTACTGTCTCAATTTTTTTCCCCCTACAAGATAATGTTGAAAATTATGGATTAAGAAGGATGGGAAATTTTGCATGTAGCATTGATTGACTTGTATTTTACATTGTATGGTTGCTATAATTTATGGTAGAAATGTATTAAATTATAAGTCCATCAAACAGCTACTTTGTAGTGCATACGAATTCAAGGATTTTATTTGTTTCTTAGATGATTGATGCTAGTGAAATATGTCAGGATTTCAAAAGCTTATTTGAACTATTTTCTTGCATAAAGTGGTGTTGGTTTTGACACATGCTATATGAGCATAAAACATTTTTAAGAACTAGAATTGAGTAGTTTTCTGATGAAGTGCATAAGAGTTTAGAGTTTATGATGAAATGGGACAGTCGCAAGGTAAAATAGTGTTTTTTTTTATTTTTTTATTTCATGATAACTTCGGGTTGGTTCGTTTTTGGCAAATTGCTAGTTTAATTCGATCAAAATCGAGCCAATGAATAAAGCTTAGCGCCTTCGGTCCTGACGCAGGGCCAATTTTGGGCAAAATCCATCGTTTAGGCCCTCGTTTAGGCCTTTTTGCTATTTATGGTAATTTTTATTTTTGTAATATCTTTTTCCATAAAATTTGGATTTATATTCCGTTTGTTAGAGGATAATCCTGAAGATAAGGATTTTCCATCTTAGTAGTGATCTCATATTTTTTTATTTTTGGAAAAATATCTTTTTATTCTATTTTCCGAATTTTGCTAGGTTTTTTTCTATTTAAGGCGTTGTAAGCCCTTTGAGGCGACAGTTCTTGAATTCAATAAAATTTTCCTTGAGAGTTTTCTCATTTTTGTGATTGTTCATCTTCCCTATAATCTTCCACTACGTCAGTTGGTATTAGAGCCGAAATCGTTCCTTCACCATGCTGTCAAGGAGACGTCCTGAAACTCGTGATGCCGCGGTAGAGGAGGTACATAGACGTGATGAAATCGCACAGCTACGTCGACAAGTGAAATTGCTGACACAGCAGATCGCTGCGCTTATGCCGCAGCAGCCTGCGCCTGCAGCCCAACAGTTTGAGGATTTTGATGATGAGAATCCGTTTGCACCGCTTGAACAACCATTGGATCTGCCAGTTCGCAGGAGAAGGGGTGGTCAGGAGAACCGACGTTGGGAATCAGGATTTAAGGTTGATATTCCAGAATTTTATGGTGGGTTGAGTCCAGAGGAATTCTTGGATTGGGTGACTGCAGTGGAGGAGATCTTGGAGTTTAAAGAGGTTCTTGCCGATATATGTGTGCCTCTCGTTGTGACGAGGCTTCGTGGGCGAGCAGCGGCATGGTGGCAGCAGACTAAAGTGACGAGATCCAGGCTAGAAAAACCCAAGCTTGCATCGTGGGACAAATTGAAGAAGCATATGAAGAAATAGTTTCTGCCTTACAATTATGTGCGGACCATGTATCAACAACTGCAGAATCTGTGTCAAGGTGACCACGAATTTTTATATGTTGGTTACGAGGAACGAGATGATGGAGACGGAGGAACAGTTGGTGTCACGGTACGTGGGTGGTCTTCGTCCCCAAATACAGGATACTCTCACTATGTTTGATCCTGTGACAGTTTCTGAAGCACATCAGAGGGCAATACAGATGGAGAAGCAACAGTCCAGGAGAACTACTAGTCCTTTCATTGCAGGGAGTTCTTCCAGTAACCCACAACAGCAGGTGACACGTCCTGGTAATCCTGCTCAATCTGGTCCTCCTAGAACAAATCCTATCCAACAACCAACACGTCCTGGGGTTAGTATTCGTTGTTTTGGATGCGGAGTTATGGACCATAGGTAGTCTGAGTGCCCCAAGAATCCGCGCAGGGGACTTTTTGTTGATGAGGGGAATGGCGATTATGATGTTTCGCCCGTATTTGACGGTGAAAGCGTAGAAGAAGCAACAGAAGAGGAAGAGTTTGTGGTTGGTGATGTGGGTCAGGCACTGGTGGTAAGGAGGAGTTTCCTAACTCCCTTGGAGAATAACACTGATTGGTTGCGTAACAATATCTTTCAATCGACATGTACTGTTGGAGGGAAGGTTTGTAAATTTGTTATTGATTCTGGTAGTTGCGAGAATGTGGTGGTTGAGGAGGTCGTTAAGAAGTTGGGTTTGCAGACTGAGAAACATTCCAAACCGTACAAATTAGCCTGGCTGAAGAGAGGGAACGACATAGAAGTGTCTCAACGTGCTCGAATCAGCTTCTCAATTGGACCTACCTACAAGGATCAGGTTTTATGTGATGTAGTAGAGATGGATGCGTGTCATTTACTGTTAGGGAGGCCGTGGCAGTTTGACAGGCACTCACTGCATGATGGATATACCAACACGTACAACTTTCTGTTTGGGGGAAAGAAAATTGTGTTACTACCGGATAAGGGTTCAGTACAAACAATTGAGAACAACGCCAATTTACTGACCAAAAAGAAGTTCGAGACAGAGATGGAGGAGTCTGGGGTAGTGTATGTGCTCGTGGGAAAGTTGATTGACAATGAGCATGAAGTCCCTCTCGCAGTTCAGCCATTGCCGAAGGGGTTTCATGAAGTTTTCCCAGAAGAGCTTCCAGATGGATTACCACCATTGCGGGATATGCAGCATCAGATTGACTTGGTGTCTGGTGCTGCCCTGCCTAACCGAGCGCATTACAGAATGAGCCCCACTGAGCATGAGGAGTTGCGCAGGCAAGTTGAGGAGCTTCTGGCAAAAGGACACATCAGGGAGAGTCTTAGTCCTTGTGTTGTTCCTGCTCTTCTCATGTCGAAGAAGGATGGCACGTGGCGCATGTGCGTGGGTAGTAGGGTGATCAATAAGATTACGGTGCGTTACCGCTTTCCTATTCCCCGCCTGGATGATTTGTTGGACCAGCTTATCGGTGCTTGTGTGGAAGACTGCATTTAAGACGAGGGAAGGATTGTACGAGTGGTTAGTCATGCCATTCGGCCTCTCAAATGCACCCAGTACATTCATGCGGGTTATGAATCATGCTCTTCACCCATTCATCGATAAATTTATTGTGGTCTACTTTGATGATATTTTAATTTATAGTGCTAATGATGATGATCATGTCCAGCACCTTCGAGAAGTTCTTTCAGTTCTTCGCAGGGATAAATTATATGCTGCAGTGAAGAAGTGTTCATTTCTTACTGATAGTGGTGTGTTCCTGGGTTATGTGATGTCAAAGGCGGGGTTAGCAATTGATACATCTAAAGTAGAGGCGATAAGTCAGTGGCCACAGCCCAAGACTGTCACTGAGGTGCGGAGTTTTCATGGTCTTGCTTCCTTCTATCGCAGGTTCATACCACATTTCAATAGCATCATGGCACCAATTACAGATTGCATGAAGGATGGTAGGTTCTAGTGGACTCACGAGGCAGAGTCGTCTTTCCAATTGATTAAGCAGAAGTTGACTACTACTTCAGTTTTGGTGTTGCCTGACTTTACCCAACCATTTGAGCTATATTGTGATGCTTCGAAAGTGGGTATTGGTGGTTTGCTGAGTCAGAACAACGGCCCTGTTGCATATTTCAGTGAGAAGCTTTCTGGCCCGAAATTTCGATATAGTACTTATGATGTGGAGTTTTATGCAATAGTCCAGGCCGTTCGACATTGGCATCACTATTTGTTCCATAAGGAGTTCATTTTGTATACAGATCATAACACCCTTAAACACCTTGGTACTTAGGATAAGGTATCTGCTCGACATGCCTCTTGGATTGCTTACTTACAGCAGTTTACCTTTGTGATCAAGCGCAAGGCAGGTGCCCTTAACAAAATTGCAGATGCATTGAGTAGGCGCCAAACTCTCCTTACAAAAATGCGAGTGGAGGTTCCAAGTTTTGACTGTTTGTGTGACTTATATGCTACTGACTCATACTTTTTCCATGTTATTCAAAAGTTGCAAGAGGGTGTGCAGTCGAACTTTGCATGGGTTGATGGCTTTCTTTTTCATAGCAATCAGTTGTGTATTCCAGAGGGCAGTTTGAGGTTGAAGCTCATTCAAGAATTGCATAATGAGGGCCATGTGGGTCGTGACCGAACATTGCAGCTTGTTGCTGCTTCTTACTTTTGGCCATCATTGCGCAAAGATGTCGGCAAGTTTGTGGAGCGTTGTCGGGTTTGCCACTTGGCCAAGGTCAAGGCGACAAATGTGGGCCTATATATGCCCCTGCCTATTCCAACCCAGGCTTGGACAGACGTGAGCATGGATTTCGCTATGGGACTCCCCAGGACTCAACCTGGGTTTGATTCGATCTTCGTAGTGGTTGATCGATTTTCAAAGATGGTATATTTCATCCCTACAAAAAGACTATAGATGCTGTCAATGTGGCCTTACTGTATTTTCGTGAGGTTTATCGCCTGCATGGACTACCTACATTTATTGTGTCTGATCGGGATACTCGTTTCCTCAGCCACTTATGGCGCAGCTTATGGCGCTCGGTAAATACACGGTTGGACTTCAGCAGTGCACATCACCACAGATGGTCAAACAGAGGTTGTTAACCGTGCCTTGGATGATTTATTACGTTGCCTGGTTGGTGATCACATCAAGTCGTGGGATTAGAAGTTGTGTTAAGCAGAATTTGCTCACAATCATGCTGTTAACCGAAGTACAGGTTTTAGTCCGTTCCAGGTGGTGTATGGCCTTGTTCCTCGTGGTCCTCTTGATTTGGTTCCAGTTTCTACTTCTGTTAAAATGCATAGTAAGGCCGATGACTTTATTCAGCAATTGTAGCAGGTTCCCTCACAGGCTCATGATCAGTTGCAGGCTGTTGTCACTGAGTATAAGTGTGCTGCGGATCTTAAATGCCGACATTTTGAATTTGAGGTAGGTGACTTTGCTTGAGCGGTGTTAACAAAGGATCGTGTTCCTGCTCATGAATACAACAAGCTTACTGCGAAGAAGATTGGTTCATTGGAGGTCATTGAGAAGATCTATTTGAATGCTTACCGTTTGAAGCTGCCCAGTCATATTCGTACATCTGACGTGTTCAATATCAAGCATTTGGTGCCATTTCGTGGTGATAATTCTGATGATGATGAAGCTCCTTTCCCGTCAAATTCGAGAGCGAATTTTTCCCACCTTGGGGAGAATGATGAAGTGTATAAGGGATTAGAGTTTATGATGAAATGGAACCGTCGCAAGGCAAAATAATGTTTTTTTTTTATTTCATGATAACTTCGGGTTGGTTTGTTTTTGGCAAATTGCTAGTCTAATTCGATCAGAATCGAGTCAATGAATAAAACTCAACGCCTTCGGCCCTGACGCAAGGCCAATTTTGGACAAAATTCATCATTTAGGCCCTCGTTTAGGCCTTTTTGCTATTTATGGTAATTTTTGTTTTTGTAATATCTTTTTCCATAAAATTCGGATTTATATTCCGTTTGTTGGAGGATGATCCTGAAGATAAGGATTTTCCATCTTAGTAGTTATCTCATATTTTTCTATTTTTGGAAAAATATCTTTTTATTCTATTTTCCGAATTTTGCTAGGTTTTTTTCTATTTAAGGCGTTGTAAGCCCTTTGAGGTGACAATTTTTGAATTCAATAAAATTTTCCTTAAGAGTTTTCTCATTTTTGTGATTGTTCATCTTCCTTATAATTTTCCGCTACATCATTTTCACTCTGGATAAATGACATAAAATATTTGTGTTTCAAGGCTAATATGGCTTCTGGGATTATGGAGTTCGATTCTGTTGGTGTTGGTTTAGCACTAATGAACGTCCCGATGATTCATTTGTTGAACTTGTCAGTATCAAGTATTGGTTTTTCTAGGTTTTGGAGTTTACCTATTGTAGACAAAGGAAAAGAATGCAGAGTAAAAGTGTAGATATGGTTTTACGGAGGAGCCCTTGATCACATGAATTCAACTGGAATTCATTTTCCTAAGGTTCTCAAAATTGTTACCTCCAAAGAAGATTGTCTCTATAACCATTTTAACTGTGTCCATTTACAGTAAAACCTTGTCAACCTCAACTATTTTATAAACTAGAACAGCTTACTGATGAATTTCCTTTCCTATTGCTTTACATTCTACTGCATAAGAGAGTAATTATGCTTTACAATCTTGCATGTGAATACCATAATTGGTTAGAAAGATGAAGTGAGGATAGTCCCCATATTTTATATTCATGTTAACACCCAGCAAAAACAATTGAATAAACAATCGTCTCACCATAAAAAATCTGAATTTTCACTTGATTTGTTTGAAAAGGGGGAAGAAATCAACAATAAGATGTTACATATGTTTTCTCAAGGTATGACACTAGTTCTCCCTTTTTTCACAATCTTGACACTAATGGTCATGGTAAAACAGAGTGAAAGGGTTCATCCAGAAAGCTAAAGGGACCTTTAGATGGTTATTTTCTTCACACATAATGTAATGTGTTCTCTAACAATTGTAGCAGAATATCTCAGTTTTATACATGTCTTAGTTGGATAAATAGCAATCCTGTAAATGTCACCAAGACCTTTTAATCCCAGTAAGCCTAAAGCTCTTGAATCTGAGGGTCATCGTGTATTGGAATCTTTACTAGTGAGTTTTTGGAAATCAAGTTTATTATATTCACTATTCACAATGTACTCTAGTCTTTTTGAGTTTGTTTATAAAACATTTGAAGAACCTGTTCTTTGATATCCTCCCATTCTAGTACTTCACTACATCCCTTCTAATTCAGGGAGCGAAATACTAGAGCTGCTCTTTTTGATGGTATTGAGGAAGGTGGTATCAGGGCTTCATCTTCTTATTCCTCTCGTGAAATTGATGAACAAGAGAATGACAGAGCAATTGATGGGTTGCAAGACCGAGTTAGTCTGCTGAAAAGAGTAAGTTTGTAATTGCTGGAATTGATCGTTTCTTGGTGGAAAAAACAAAATTATTTCTTACCTTACAGACAGGTAGATAGCAAAGTTGTGCTATTATTTTGACGATTTCTTGATACATGTGTGAAATTTTTAGCTCTTAAAGCATTCAGTGAAAGTGGAAAAAACGTCAATTATATTTATTGTTTTAACATATGTTGGCTATTTAGTTGTATGAAATATGGAAATCATCTGTGTATTTTTAGCTTTTTATTATATATTTCTTATCCAAGTCTTGAGCATGCTCTGCATTAACAGTTGTCAGGTGATGTACATGAGGAGGTCGAGGCTCATAACAGTGTGCTGGACAGGATGGTGTGTATACAGGAGAAACATTTTCCGTTATCTTGAATACTTATTAGCAGTATCATTGTAATGTACTTGATTTTTCTAACTTCGGGTTTTTAGGGCAATGACATGGATGCTTCAAGGGGAGTTTTATCGGGAACCATGGATAAATTTAAGATGGTATGCGAGACCTAGCATTTACTCTGTTGCCATTACCTTAACTTTTCCTTTGGTTGCTTAATTTTCTTAGTATGATTGTGTTACTTTTTGTAGGTGTTCGAGACCAAATCAAGCAGGAATATGTTTACGCTTGTGGCATTGTTTGTGGTTATTTTTCTCATTATCTACTATCTCACCAGGTAAGTGGGGATAAAAATGCGAGAAACTCAGTAACTTCCTTTGGACCGGCGATTTTTGTGACTGCTTCATTGATAGTCATCATCAGAATGTAACATGTCATGACCTTGTAATCTCTATGAAGGGACTCTCATGCAACTTGCACTTGAATATATGGGACGGTTAGCAATTTCTTTGGCTTTTAATATTCGTTTGAAAAATTAAGGATGTTCGACAGTAGATATGAAAAGGGGAGAAAAACATGTTCATCTCCTATGTTTAGAAATGGACATTTTAGTCCTCGATCTATTTGCTCAATCCCCAATTTTTGCAATTGCTCTCCACGTCGCCAGATAACTTTCTAGTTTTTGATCTTATAAATTGTCACTTGGTATAAAAAATTATTGAAAAAACAAAATATTAATTAAGTCAATGTTTCGTCTCTATTTTTTAAAATTCATTTTTCTTCAAACATGGCTTATGGGACCTGTAAATTTTGTCAATTATTTAATCATATATTTCATCAATTTTATCAAAATTTACCAAAAATCTAAATTTTAGTTAAATCATCTGGAGCTATATAAGAAACGTTAATTAATTTGGACTTTGGAGTACGATGGGGTAGCGAAAACCAAGGATTGGGGGCCAGCAAACGGCGCGGGGCAGGTCCTCAGATCTACCGATCAATTTATATATAGCATGTTTGGTACACATTAATGTAAAAATGAGAATGAAAAATATAGTCGTTATGGGCTCTACACAAGAAATAGAAATTCAAATTTGGTGACTTGATATGATGGATAACGATCATATATTTCATTTTAATAAAGAAAAAATGAGAAACAAACAGGGACATAAGTTATTTAGAATTATTTAAAGTAATCAATTAAGAATACATGACAATTTTGAAATCACATTATTTTCCTACATAAATCTACTCTTACTATTGCATTTAAATAATTTAAATAACTTGACTATATTGACACCCTAGCTCCCAGACCATGGGGCTTATTTGACTGATGACTAATTGTGTCTTATTGCAATTTGAATGATGCAAAACAAATGTTGAATTGATGAATTAGGGACTGTTGATACTTTGAATTAGTCATGTCGGACTGGTTTATTAATTATTCATATATTGTAACATAATGTAATGTCGTTGTAGACTAAGTCCTGTTTGGTTCATATTTTAATTTGAGTCAAAGTCAAACAATCAATTTTAATCACATCTTTCATGAGTCCCACAACTTTTCGACCATACATTTCAAATTTTTTTATCAAAATTTACTAAAAATCTAATTTTAATCCCCCATCGAACACCTTCTAAATTATTTAAAGCAATAAATTTGATGACCTAGAAACTACGTTGATAATTTGAAGTTGACATGTCGGACTGATTTATATGTCGCTCTTGTATTCTAATATAATACTATGCCGTTATAGACTTGGGGTTGTGGTTGGGGTTGTGGCAACAAAATTGAATATTATTATTTTGATTTTTTTACCCCTTTTTAAACAAATTCAATGGCTTTAACCTTACAAAATAAAAAAGACTTGGACCCACAATTTCTTTAAGAAAAATGCAAAATAGAATTGGGATTATAAATTTAACAGAGAAAAGCTGAAAGGCTTGTAGCATAAATAGCACCAATTGAAGATTATCAAACATATAAGATTTGCTAAATTACATTTTATTTGTAATTTTTACTTTTGTATTCTTTTTTTTTTTTTTCATTTCCATTGCATTTTGTTGTGCTTTTGGTTTTTCAAGATACGTATAAACTAAACCTTACTATTTTTCAACTACAGACCCATTCAATTTCTTATTCTTCGTAAATCCTTCCAGTCAACATTCAAAACTGGTATTCAAGAAATATTCAAGTCATACATTCTCATTTTTCTCATGCAATTTAAAAAATATATATATCCTTACCACAGACATATCAAGTCCTATTCCATTAGCTTCTTAACAATTTATCTACGCTTTTTCCAGATAATGAGGGCTCCAAATGTTATTGTAACTGTAATAGCATTGCTTTTCCTCCTAAGTATTAAACCGTACGAATGTAGTCGAATTCTAGACGACGAAGAAAAAGAATGGATGAAAAGTGAACAACATCTTCTATTACCATCTTTGCAGGGTGGCACTCCCACACCGAATAGTTGCACCTACGTACCCGGTGGTGGTGGCCGCCCATGCAGAAGCACCATCAGCGAGAAAAATTATGCAGGCCATGTTATGGCTCCTCCTCCGCCGCCGCCGCCGCCTTTGCCAACACCACCACCACCTCCGTCTCTTGTTACGAATGCATATCCAAGCCAAATGATTCAATTCGGGGTGGCTGCTGAAGATCGTAAATGAAGATAACAATATTACTTTGAAGACCTTAACAACAATTTTAACCAAATTTTCTCAACATGTTGAGAACCCAGAATGGGATTTTTATTTTTTATTTTTTCATTTTTGTTGGGATAAAAAAGGAAAACTATTGAAAAAACAAACAACTCATTTATTTCTCCAGCGACTAGTAATTGAATATTAAAAACTTATTTAAAATTAGGGATTATCACAATAATGTAGTATTTATTATATTTAATATTATGCATTACATTTACAATATTAATAACATTCTTTTAATGTTTTTTAAACAATTAAAAAATAATTGATAAATTCACCAACTAAAAATCAAAGCTCAACTCAAAGCTAAAATTTTCAAACAAATTCATGTAAAATTTTATAAGAGCATTACTGAGCCAAATAGAGAGATACCAATATAGAGCAACACATTCTCATTTTCTATACGCAAATCTCTATGCTATGCATCGACTATGAGACATTCCCATTATACAAAATGGACATACATCGATGATCAAATCTTACATGTTCGACTCTATCATTTCAAGAGAGAAGCAGCTAACTTCTCCTTCAACTGATCTGCAGAGCCGCTCTGTGTTTGAATGGAGAATGTGTGAACTACCTCAGCCTCGTCGGATATGGACACATCACACTGTTGCGCGGTTACTTGATGCTCTCTCAACGCCATTACAACCCCCGATATGGGGTGAGAATCCAGTGGGTAACTTAACTTTACAACTGCATCTTCATGCCTAGCTTGAAAATCAATTTCTGGGATAGCATACCACTTTTGGTTGTTAATCACCATCTCTTTCTCTGATTCCCAGATCCTTATCTTCGTCTCAAGATCTGTGATGTAGGCTATCGCATCTCCAAGCAGAGACGCTTTGTCCATCTTGGAGACATTCGGGACAACGGCTCTTAAAGCATAAAACTGCTGGTTAAGCTTCTCGCGTCTCTGTCTTTCGGCTTCCACGTGATTTAACGGTTCTTTCCTTCCGTCGGCCGGCTTCCGACCCCTCTTTTTAGGTTTCTGAACTTCAGGCACAATAGACAAATCCTTTTGAGTCTGTGAATTTGGTTGCCCAACGACTTCCTGGTTTATATGTGGAGACTGTCTTGCTTCACCATCATCAATTTGATGCCCATTTGATGAGTTTACACGTACTTGGCTACTACTTCCTAATGTCTGTATACTATGTGACTCCGAAGGAAAACCAGAAATATCTTCCACATTCGGAGAAGAACTAATACTGATTGGACCTGATTCGAATCCTTCTAGACTTAATTCTTGCCCAAATAATTTTGGAAATGTTTTTGCCTGTGTCAAATTTGGTTTCCCAAACATAGATTTCACTAATTCCATCACATACTTATCCTCGGGAATTGACTTTCTGGAACCGATCTCCACGACTCCTGATATAGTTGGAACAAACACTAATGTCTCAAAATTAGCAGATTTTGCTAGATACGACCTCAACTGATAATATTCTAAACAACTTTTCTCATCAGAAACCCAAATCGATCCGCCAGAATTAAATGACTCAGAAGGAATGAATGGCCTATCCAAGGGGAATACAAAGTACATTGATGTGAGATAAAACATTGTAAAATCAGAAACCTGATTTAGCTTAGGCACAACGTTTTCATCTTCTGATCGTCCTAAACTAGCACGAATCTTCTGAAGCACTAGTTTTTTCCTATATTCTTCTGCTAAATTTTGATTCTTGGTACCATTTCCATCTTTATCTTCACCTTCCTTCGGTTCTCCACAATGTCCATCACCCCAAATCAAGGCCGGTTTACCGGATCTCGATTCTGAAACTTGCCAGTAAATGGCATAAGTCCAATCCGACCCTTCAAGAATCCGGCATAGCCCCTGATGCACTCCTAAATCTCCACCTGATACAGTGAACTCCGACAACACCTTATTTGAAGCGGACCAAACAATATACTCAACACATTCACTCCCTAATACACTCTCCACCATAGCCTTCTCCTCTTCATTTAACCAGAATTTATCCCCCATCTTTCAACAACTTAGAAAACTAGTTTCCTCAAGTAAAATTAGACAAATTCTAGCACAGGAGTTTTCGCAAAAAATCAACAACCCCAATTCTATAACCTATTCAGAGCATAATTTCATACTCAAAAATGAAGAAGAAGAACAACAAAATTCAGGATGAATAATTAATACTACGCTTGAGGTTCAGTAAAAAACAACCCATTCAATCTTTAGGTTACCTTCAAACAGAAAATTTTGAAAAATGGGAAATCCCCTAAAAAAATTCTTTTATAAATACCCCCATTAAAGAATCTTGGATTTTGGGAACAAACTCAGAAAAACACAATCTGGAATTTCAGAAACTTAGATTCACACTAAAAGAAGTGTTGAGCAAGTTTTTCAAAAAATTGTACCCACTAAATTAAAATTTAAAAAAAAAAAGAAGAAGGATAAGAACACTAATGGACCACCAAAACTAAAATTTCAGATTCGTATGATCTGTTAAATCACAGAAACGTGAGAATTCAGACATATATAAGGAAATTAAAGGCGTGCTCGAGTAGAATTTTACGTAACAAATACCTTAAAATTAAATTGGGGTTCATGAATCTTTCCATGAAATTGAATTTGCTCGTGTTTCACATGAATTCAACAGATTCAGAAATTCATCCTTATTGCACTGTTACGTGATGCAAATATATCATCTCGCCCTTTTCCTCATGTAGCAAGTTTACGCGTCCCACTTTTCGATCTGGTACATGCATGTTGACCGTAAATGTCATATATCTAAACGATAAAAAGGTAGAACCGACCTTGGGTCCCATCGTCCCATCCCTAAAACATCACGAGGGAGGTAAATCGCTGCAGATCAAATAACAAAGGTTTGTCCATGCACTAGTGTCTACAAAGAGTCCAATTTCATATCTCAAGAATTGAACCCTCATATTGCGACTATCAACAAAGTTGAAACTATCTCACTTCTATCATTTGTACCACTAGGTTACGCCGCGGGAGTCATGTCATCTAAAAGATATTTGTATTTCGAAGTGACATAATAGTACACATTCTCGGTACTTCTTAGGGATGACAGTGGGTCGAGTCGAGTCGAGCCGACTCGGCTCGTTAACCCATGAGCTTGACTCGGGCTGGTGGCGAGCCGAGCTCGTGGCTCGTTTTTCATGAGCCGAGTTCGGGCTCGGTTCGTTGCTCGTGGGCGAGCTCGGCTAGGCCCACGAGCTCGTGGGCCAAGCCGAGTGGAGCCCACGAGCGGCTTGCGAGCTCGTGAATTTATTATTTTTTTTTTTGCAAATTTTATTAATAAAATTTTATTTTTTTCCACATTTTTGGACGAGCTAACTCGTGGGCTCGGCCCACGAGCCGCTCGGCTCATTGGACGGGACCTCCTGCTCGGCTCGAGCTCGGGCTCGTCATTTGACAAGCCCGAGCAGCCCACGAGCCGAGCTTTGACGAGCTGAGCCGGCTCGGCCCAATTGAGAGGGGCAATTTTTAAAATGGCTGGATAATTGACTCAATTTTCCACAATGGCGTTTTCTATAAGAAATACTATTTTACCCTTACTATAATTATTTGCAAGATATATCTTATATCTTTAAGGATTTATTAATCAGGACTTATATCTATATTTTTCAATCTTTCAAACACCTTTAAATATTCTTTGTATTTTAGTAGTTTTTCAAAAATCCTAGGCTGACCTTTCTTGATTATATATCCTCGAACTAATCCTTCTGAAATTTCTTCTTGTATATCTCTATGTTTAGTTATAATATCCTTTATCTTTCTTATCTCTTTACTAGTTCCTACAGAATCAAATCCTATATTATTTTTACAATTATAATTTATATCTTTATATATTTCTTCAATTTTTTCTTTGCCAACAGGAAATATATTTTCAGACTTTTCAGCTAATTTAAATAAAAACGAAACATCTTGGTCATCTAAAAATAATATGAGATTATTATCATTATTAGAAATAGATGTAGATGCTTGTGAATTGTTCATCAGAATAATTAAAGCATAAGCATGTAAGAATAAGTAAATAACTTACAGTAATCAAATAAAAGTAAACACGTTTTCCCTCCAGTATACTTTTATAGATGCTTTGCATGTACTTAATCAATCTTCTGAATCAAGTAAAGATTAAAATATTTTTTGAAATCATTTGGGTCCACAACTGCTTCCGCAAAAGGTTTTTCAATTAAGGTTGCATTTCTCACTCTAGAGAACTAGCCGTGTTTCCACAGACGTTATCTCACAATATCCAGAGTCTCTGTTTTCACCTCTATCCAAACTCTTTTCGGAATCAAGTTCCTACTTGGAACGAAATTTTAAAAGATAACTCACACACAAGGTACTACAATTTTGTTAGAAAATTGTCTTTTCCCCTAAACCATTCTTCAAAGACGGGTACTTTGGCATGGCTAACATCCATTCAAAATCAATGTTTTGAAATCTTTTAAAATTTCTATCTATACTGCCGAGGAATCATGAGAATTTTAACGAAATCCTTTTATGAAAGCTTTGTTGAACATAGCAAATTTTACTTTGATATTCATAAACTGAAATAGTACATACTTACAATCTATATTTACATACCTTTAGTACTCACCTTATGAAGTTTAGAATTCCATAAGTGATTACCTTATTACACGCTTTACTATCTTCAAGCTATTTAATATATTTCTGAATGCAAGTGGTGTATACAGATTACAAAAGATATCTCTCTAAGATGTGTTTCCTCCGAGTGTTTAAGAGATAAGTTATTTCGAGATGTCCTCCTTCTTCCTCCTTGCCTCCTTTTATAGAAGCCTTTAGGAATCTTATCTTGACAGGTGTTTTTCTCCTTTCTTTGTTGGGTAACTAGGTCATCTTATCTCCACCGATTTTTCCATTATCTTCTTGCTAAGTGGACCTCTCCTTTTGAAATTATATGCTTTATCTTTTGAGTTTGTCTGCCACTTGTGACAAATGGTGGGGAATAGTCACAATTATGGAAACTTTTCTTGCACTATCTTTTGTCTTTTAGTAGTCACAGTTTTTCTTTAATAAATTTCTTTATTAAAGTAGTGATAAATGGCTACTTTTGTCACCATCATTTTTCCATTTTCGAATCAAAGAATTCTGCAGGGAATTCTTCACTATTAAGAGATGCTTGACTCATATCTTTAACAACACAGTATTCACAATGGTGATCACTGTAGTTCCAGAGTAATTTGCATAGTTCTTTAGCCATATCTTCTGATCTATGCACTTGGTTAGAAATAATTGCAGATAATAAATGATCGAGATAATAAATATCTTCTTCCTTGGTAGCCATCCTTGCATTAGAATAGATAATATGATCTTCAGATGGATAAACCCATATTTTTTCTTTCTTAGTAATTATCTGAGTTACATGTTCAAATATCTCTTTGTACCCTTTTACTCTTCTGTAGGGCATCATATTTAGAATATCTTGATATCCATTTTTAACAACCTTTTGATTGGTTGGTAAAAAATGTTGATTTGTAAGTTCCATTTTTATCACATGGAACGATGGATGCATATATTCAAGAACGGAATCCCATTCCATGGTTGCTAAATGGAATCTGATATATATATTTGTTGTCTTGACGACTTCAGTATATCTTTTAACAGCTTTCCTGATGTTTTCTGGAAGCTGAGCTATCCCTTTGAGATCTTTGCTAGGATATATACAAAGTATATTTCCTATCTCAAAATAATTTCGTACCCAGTTGGTTGGTGCTCCTTGATAAAAATTTATCTTGTTGTATTTTGAATAATGGAGAGTCTTCATCCACTTTCCAATCTCCAGATACCAATCTGATAAAATATTGAAAATAACAATAAAGAGTGTTACTTCTTCATGATTATCTTTTCTAGGAATTTTTGTTTCATGGCATATCTTGACAATATCTTTTGGATCTATCCTTTCAATAGAAAGTTTAGATTGAGTTTGGTTCTGTGAATAACTACTTTCTCTTTTGATATCTTGAATATCTTTATTACTAGTAATAGGTTCAAGTTTTCCCTGTGAAGGGGTTCCTATTACCTTCTTTTCTTTCCCTTTATCCTCGGGGAGAGCACTAGTATTCACAAGTCCCTGCAAAGGGATACTAGATTTGGTACAAGTAACTTCTGCCTCAAGGGCTATATTTTTTCCTCGAAGGCTATCTTGAATATTTTGAATTTGTGTTTCCAAATAGGAAACTTTTATCTCAAGTATTTGGACTTTCATCCTTAATTGTTCTAGCTCCATCCCTGCTAAGATAATCAGGAAGAAAGTTAGTTTTACCTTTTATATATTCAATATCAAATTTGAAATATGAAAACCAAATTTGTATTCTAATAATATATCTATTGGCAATAGAAGGATCAACATTATTTTTCAAAATGCTTTAACTTGAGTATTATCAGTTCTAATCAAGAACTTCTTTGGTAATAGATAATCTTCATATTTCTAAACTCCTCTTTTTACAGCAATGAGTTCTTTCCTGTTCGTCTCATATCTTGTTTCAACTTCTTTGAATGTTCCTGATATATAATCTGCAAGTATCTCAGGACAAGAACAATTCTTTTCACATTTATATTCTTTATGATTCTTTTTAACCTTTAATACTGCTCCCCAGTAATTATCTGAAGCATCAGTTTCAAGAATAAATAAATCTTCTTCTTGTGGTATTACAAGTTTAGGCAATACCTTTAACTTTTCTTTTACTTTCCTTATATTTTCACAATCTTGTTATTCCCAAGACCACATTATATTTTTTCTTAATTTTGGAAGAAAATAATTTTTCAATTTGGCACAATTTTCAATGAATCCTTCAGCATAATTTAATATACCAAGGAAGTTTTGTAATTGCTTTTTATCTTTGATTTCTTCAGAAAATTCTTGAACTTTTTCTCCAATATGAGATTGCAATTGCAATTGCAATTCTCCTTCTTTTATAAATAATCCTAAAAATTCTATTTCTATTCTAGCTATCTCAGCTTTCTTTTGAGAAAGTGTAATACCATATTTTTTAATAATATAACAAAATTTCTCAAGATGTTCAATATGTTCATCAATATTATTTGAATGAATAAGTAAATCATATACATATGCAATAAAGAAATGAGTAATTGGTTTGATTACCTCATCCATTCTTCTTTGGAACATTTGTGGTGCATTTTTCAACCCAAATGACATTACATTCCATTTGTATTGTCCTAAAGGATTGGGGGTACTAAATGCAGTTAGTAGTTTACTTTCTTCTGTAAGCATGATTTGTCAAAACCCTGACTTACAATCAAATTTTGAAAATATCTTTTTGTTCTTTACTTGTTTAATAAGGGTGTCCTTATTTGGCAAGTAGTATCCATCAAATTTAGTAACATCATTTAATTTTTTGTAATTTATCACTATTATAGATTTTCCTCTTTTTATCTCACTATGTTTTATAACCATAAAGGCTGGGCTGCTATGTGGACTTTTACTAGGCCTAATTAACTTGGCTTCTAGCAATTCTTTTATCTGGTCTTTAAATTCCTTTTGATCATCAACACTATATTTCATGGGTTTGACTCTAACAATAGTGTCTGGATTGGTTAATTCTATTTTTGCCTTAACTTTGTCTGTATTCCATTTTTCTAATGGATTTTCAGAATATGTTTCAGAAATTTCTTTTTTCAGTTTTTCAATCCTTTTTGCTATTGTCATTTTTAAGACTGTAACTGGTTTAAATTTTTCTGTACTCCAACATCCACCACG